AGATAAGAGAGCAGAAACACAGTATCACTCCTAAATCAGACGGTACAATATGCTTTTTTTTTTTTGCTTTTTTGAAACCATATTGCAGGATTTATTTTCGGAATAATAAACCTATAGATCCGTAACGACAATAACAATTTCCCTGTGAAGCTGGTTACCCATAGCGGTACAGTACCACCATCCTCCTGACGGATGAATGGTGTTACAGTGCGTCTTCTTCGGAAGACTTCACGTCTCCCCGTCACTTCACTTCACTTCGGTGGATTCCCTCCTCTTCCGGATTGTTCTTCGCATGTCAGTTGTCCAAGAGGGAGCGCTGTAGAGCCTCCTGGATCATCGTGTGCTCGTCTGTGGAGTAATCCTGCACAGAGAAAATAGAGCCAATATAGAAGCGAACTGATCATTACTAACGGAAAACAGGTGTGTGCGTTTTCGGGGCTTCGACTTACAACAAAGGTGTCGTAGGAGAATGTGTGTCTGATCTTCAGGTGCTGGAAAAAGTCTGCACTCCTGTAGTTCGGGTCCCCCCAAGGCATCGAGGCACAGATGGGACACACCTGGACGGGCGCAGAGTGAAAAGTGACAATGAGTCTGTGAACAGAGGAAATCTGAGCCATGGCCAGATTCACATCCGGCCCTCACACCCTCTCCCCGCCCACTTCCAATCCGTTTGTGCATCTGCCACGTTAAGAGGCCGTTCACACGCCGCAACAAAGAGACGCTGCGTCCAAAGATTTAAAATGTTGACGAGAAACAACCAATCACAGCCGGCAGATAAATATCAGTGGACAGTAAAGGACTGCGTGGAGCTGTGCGACCCGTCCCACGGACTGTGTCGAGTCCAAAGACGTCACAGCATCCGGTTGAAAGGTCAGACTGAAGACGACAGATGGAGCAGCAGAGCTACTGTGAGGGATTCACAGTGCTGGAAATCCTTTTATCTTAGTTTGTTTAGTTCAGTGAGTGAGGCTCACTGCTATAGTACCGCATCATCATCATCATCATCATCATCATCATCATCATCATCGCAGTGTGCAACCTCCCAAGGGCCTCGGATGAAAGGATGAAACTTGTGAAAAGCCCCTTAGTGCCAATAACCATGACGTGATTTATAAAACCCAACAGTGACTCCACTACCTGAGCTTACTGACACGGTACAGTAGAGCAGCCAGAAAGATGATTCATCAAGATTATCCAGCGAGTTTATGGACAAAAGGAATCTACATAAACAGCTCTCTGCATTCCCTGATGTGGTGTTAAACTCCTGCTAATGTACAAATAAGAGTTAAAACTACAACATCCACGTCTGTCCATAATGTCAACACTTCTCAATTTCTTCTCCCATTAGACATTTGTGTGAAATTGCCATAATTAGCTTATGAATTATTGATTTATGGGCCAAAAATGCTTTTTTTGTGAAGTCATAGGGAGCTCAGTTCACCAAATTCTGACCGTTCTTCAAATTTGTATCCAGCTTTGATGTTAGTTGAGTTAAAGCTTCATTTGATACGCAGCAGAGTTCCCATTTTAAAAGCCGTTATCAGTCAATCATGTTGTTTTGACAAAGATAAAATCTTAAACCACGATTAATATTGACTGCGCAGCCCGGACGCACAACGCCGCTTTGTGTTCGTCACGTGAGACGCTCCGCACGGATGTAAACAACAACAAAACATTCACGAGATGGACGTTTAATATCTTCACATCAATACTTTGCTTCATGCAGCAGTGAGTGCGACACAAACAGATGGAGGAAGATGGGATCGGGGACATTGTTTTTGTTCTTTTAATTCCTACCACTTGTCGTGCATCACGAGCATGCTGGGAAGTGCAGTGTTCGACTAGGCCGTCCTGGTCCAGGTTCTGGCAGTTGCAGTACGGGCAGGTGAAGGTGAAGCGATTTGGTACTGGACTGTGGGAAAGAAACAGACGACAACAACATGTTAACGAGATTCCTTTCTCTTTGATATCGATATCATATTGACATCTGTTCAACTGGCCACTACTTTGATTAGTCGTCATATCCGCGTTACAAATGACTGTTTCTCAAACTTCTCTTGTTTGTAATCGTCTCTAAAAAGCTGAAATGTCACCATAGAACCACCATGGAACAGCAGTTCCACTTCTTAGAACCGGAGTCTCTTTGTTTTTGTAGTTTTCGGCAAATTTAACGAAAGGAATTGTAAGAGTCTAAAACATTGATGCTTCATCAGCGTACATGCAGGTGTGCGCGGTTCCTTTAGAACGTTGTCTTCTTACTCCTGCTGAACAAAACGTGTCGGCGTCATAAAAAGTATTGTCGTTGTCTTTTGGAGTCTTCACACTTCATTTGTTTGTACGTCCTCTGGTGTTTCAGAGAATAATGCAGCGCATAGAGTATAAACTCCTCCGTTACCGCTCGGAGGCTCGAGTTACGGCAACAAGCACAAAGAAAGCTTAATAAAGCATTCGTTAAAAGATTTTCCCACAAAGATCCTTTACTACTACTTTCTCATGTGTTTCACCCTGCAGGTCGAATGATCTCTTCACAAAGAATGTGGGATATACTAACCCTAACGCAATCAACCGAGTGATGCAGATGGTTTAAACAGAGCGCACAGACTTCTTGTTGTTGCTCACAGAACCGGTTTAAGGCCACATCAGACTGGATTGTTCAGTATTCTTCAAGGAGTTCGTGCACACAAAACAATGCTTCTTTCATGGATGTGTTGCACTCATGCAGGACTGCAAAACCTCTCTCTACTGCTCAGCTACAGAGTTAACTCTTGAGTGTTTATCATGTAGGTGACATTGAGTTTCACCTGATGATGGCGGGCTGGCTCTGGGCAGTGGTCCTCACTCCCTCCTCGATGTATTCCTGGAATTTTGAGCAGGCAGCTGTGTGGCCTCTCATCTGAGAAAGACGGACCTGAATAGCGAGAGAACGCAATTTAAAACACTGCAACCGTCTCAAATGTAGTTATGATGACGCTACAGCGATCCGTCTAACCCCCCCCCCCTTTTGCATGTTATCCAAATCAGCAGAGGCCATTTTTCAGACGCCACAGCCCCTACCTGTGTTCCACATCCTTTGCAAGCGGCCACAGACGATTGGATCTTGAGCTCCAGCTCCGCAGCTTTAGTCCAGGGGCCCAGGCCGGCCCGGCACACGGCGCAGACGGGCTTCTGTGGACGCAAACACTCCTGCAAACAACTGTGGCAGAACCTGGGAAAGAGATGGGAGATTAAGAAATATTAATGATAATAACTTTATTCATATAGCACCTTTAAAAACAGAGTTTACAAAGTGCTTTGACAGACAAAGCAGCAAATGCTGCAAGACAATAATAACAATAACAATTAGCGAGACAGTCGATAGGATGAATACAAACAAAGAAAATAAAAGAAACTGATCAATTTTAATCAGAATTTAATAAAAACGGCTTATCGCCAAGTACGTAACATGTACAAGGGATTTGGCTTGGTGTCGCAATAGTAAAAGAGATAATTTAAAAAATAGAAAATATGAAAAAATGAAAAATAAATATGATAAACAAACAAATAAGGATGTTAAAACAAGTATAATTTGATATAAAACAATATATAATCTGTCCTCTGGTGACCAGGAGGAAAGAAAAGTCTGTTTACAAAGTATTCTTACTAATAAACTGTATATTAAAATATAAAAACTGGCGCTGTCATTCTCTGGAAGATCCCAGTAAAGCTTCCTGCAAATCCGATGGAAAGTCCCCCCTCGGGAGGGCGCTGGGACTTGTAGTCCTTCAAAGCGGGTTGATGAGTCCAAGCTACGGCTGTCTGAACTACAACTCCCAGGTGAGGCCGCCTCTTTGATGTAAACAAAACTGAAACTGATTTTAGCAAGCTGACATTGGGTTTTCTTAACCAAATATCCAAAATAGAAATACGGGGTCACAACAATAACAACAACAGGCTCGCGCGTGGTCGATATTTTTGCAACTCTGACGTCGCGACACGTTAAAATAACGATCCTTTCTCTCCCTCCTCCTCCCCCATTATTTGTCCCACGGAACTATCAGAGAGAGGTGGGTTAAAGGAGGTTTTTGGACGGTTGATGTAAAATAAAATGGCAGAAATACACTCACGTGTGGCTGCATTGGGTCGTCACGGGACTGTCGAAGATCTCGAGACAAACCGGACAGACGAACTCCGACATGTCGCCGGTGGTCCCGTCGGAGACGTTTTTCTTGTGCTGTGCTGCACTAAACCCTCCGAGCGTCGCCATTTCTTTTTCTTCGCTGAGACAGTTCACCCCCTCTCAACCCCACTCCTCCTCTTCTTCTTCTACTTCTTTCAGTTTATTGGCGGACTACAAACCAACGTTTAAGGCGCATTACCGCCACCTATTGGACCAGAGTGTGTAACACATCATGACTTTATGACAGTTATCGTTTAAACACAATAATGTTATTTATAAATAAAAAAACTAAAAACATCTCTCTCTCTCTGTCTGTCTCTCTCTCTATTTTCGTCTCTCTCTCTGTCTCTCTTCCTCTCTGTCTGTCTGTTTCTCTCTCTTTCTGTCTCTGTTCTCGATTAATATACAAAATATTTGTCAATTTCAAGGTGATATTTTGGAGATAATCACAATAATGAGTTGGAATTGGAGAATGTTTGACATTATTGGTTTATTTATTTTAGCATAAACAAATTGAAAAGCAGCTAAACACAATATCGACATTTTAAATAAATAGTTTTATTTTCCTGTATATTCAGCGGATGTAGTTTGCAGCTGGTCTCTGTAGCCCCTCCCCCTTTTTAGCTCAAACAGCACGTGGGCCCTCCGCTGCTGACGAGAACTGTCAGAACTGGCGGCGCATGCGCGTTGGGATGATGGGAATTTCCAACAGCTGAGGAGGAGGCGTAGCTAGCCACACGGCTAGCACTCGTTAAAGGTAAGATGTCTTCGTGGTGGCTTTAAGAAAAGCGGTGTGGTATTTTAGCTTAAGTTCAAAAGTACACTTGTTCGCACAAGAGTCACGTCACAGTGACGGTACATGTTTAAATAATTTACTTAAAAATTGTTTCTATCCAACGATGGACCGCCCTGCTAGCTAAGCTAAAGCAATTGTTTAGCTAGCCAGCTGCGCTGCTGAAATGGGCGTTCACTGCCAGAATAATCGGGTTTTTTTGTGGGTTTGAGATTCCTGAAGAATTAACGTACACGCTCGTCCTCCGGGCGTCTACCTTTATTATCATCATCACTGGTCGTGACGGAGCGACTCTGTTGCTGTGTGATGCGCATTAGTAACGCATGCTGGATGTGTTAGCCAAGGCATGTTGCGTGCTAGCTCGCTAACTGTTAGACGGATGCCCGTTAAGGTTGATGTGTGTAGGTAGGTTTGTTAGGTAAAATAAGATAATCCTTTATTAGTCCCGCAGTGGGGAAAGGTAGGTTGGTTTGAGGTAGGTAGGTAAACTTACATAACGTTATATATCCACATCCGTATGCCTAATATAGCGCTCTTAATTTGAGCTAACTATGCTAGGTGCAGGCTATCATGGGTTTTTAAATGTATTTATTGGTTTATTTGATAAGGGACAGTGCACATTAATAATAACATTGCTGTAAATGCGCCAGAGTTATTAGACAAGAGGCTGTTTTTCATCTGCAGTCCCAAGAGACATGTTACACAGTAAACCTATAAAAACAGAATATAAGATTAAATTTACAAAGTTATGCAATATTGACCCTTTTACAATGTGTGCAGAAAGAAGTGATACTATTAATATAAGTAGTATCATCATTCAGGAGACTCTTGTACTACATTGTCATGTGTTTACACACATGTTTGTACTGCTGGCTCACATATCCACTGGCAAGACAACATAGTGTCTGTCAACAGTGAGCCCTGATGTACACTGCAGTTCCTCTAGTATTTTACTATGTTGTGTACATCGTGATGATAATCTATCAGTCCAACCTATTGTCTATATGACAGACATATAAAAATACCCACATGGTGCATCCATCAGAGCACATACTGTTTCTCAAAATAGTGACGCACACACACACACACACACACACCTCCTGTTTGAGCCATTAGAGAACAGAGAAGACTCTGGATGATCATTGTTACAAATGCTCTTTCTTTTGGACCGATTTAACACAGACTGAGTCAGTAGAAAGATATGTTTCCTTCTGTGTGCATCAGGAATGAGAGATTTCCATTTTCATAAAGCTCTCCTGTGTCTCTACAGCTTGGAGCCGGCTCAGAAGAATCCCACGATCACGAATGTGGCTCCACGATGAGTGACCTTGAGCTCTGCACACGCCGAAACCGAGGACTGGAATAGATGCAGCGCTGCGTTAACAGAGCGTGAAGCTACAGCTCCTCCTGACCTCATCGTGCACGACATAGGCCCGTGTGTCCTGGAATGAGTCGGGCTTTGAGCCGATGCCAGAGATGCCCGTAAGAAGGCGTCCCTACAGGCTGCAGCCTAGCTACGCCAACTGAAAGCACCACAACAACTGCATCTGTTGTTTGAAGGATGTGCTGCTGATTGGATGCAAAATCTCACTCCTCTTCCACCTCTCCAAAACATTATTAACGTCGAGCGTGTGCCAAAGCGTTCGCAGTGAATCATGATGACCAAAACATGGTGCTTGAATGTGGCACCCTGGTGCAGAATATGCTAAGAGGGGTGAGGCTCTCTCAGAAAAGTAGCCGAAGGGCCGACTGACAGTCCGCTGCCGACAATGGATGCCAAGTTAAAAGAGGACCTGTTTCGAAGGTATGTGACGCTGCTGGAGAGGCGTCTGGAGGGTGGAGGGGAGTACACGGGGGTTGGAGGTGCACCAGAGGGGGACAGAGGGAGGCACAAGGACAGCGAGGCGCTGCTCTCCACTGCGACGGCTCTGCTGGGGGCCTACCAGCCGGACCCGGGGCAGCGCTTCCGGATGGTGCGTTACTATGAAGTGGTGGAGAATTCCCTCCGCTGTCAGAGAGGGGGCAACATCAGGAGCCTGGAGAGAGCCTTCCACACGCTGGAGACCATATGCACCAACCTCCTGCTCTTCCCCTGGAAGAAGGAGTTCAGATGTATCAAGGTGAGTTGAGTTTCTCCTATTATTCTCACATAAAGATGAAAACAAATACTCAGAAACATGTCAACGTTCTTGGAGTTTGTAGATTTCCATATCGTATGAAAAGACCCAAAATACAGACAATTCAAGTGAACACCTGAAATACGGCCCCTTGCAAAGGAATGCAAAATAATTTATTCATCTGATTTAATTTGTAATAGTTTAAAGTGCATCTTTTAGATTTGAATAAAACTAGTGCAGAAAGAGAGATGCAGATGATCCCACTAGGAGTTATCACTTCAAGGGTCCATCTGGTGGTCTCCGCACTAGTCTGTGCAAACATTTCTATTTCATACGGGCTCTATGTGGAAACAAGATCTAGAACACATCTTCCCTAAAGAGCCTCCGTTGTAGAAGCTGTGCCACTGGTCGCAGAGACGGCAGTGATCCATATACAGAGGCTGCCTTTGTTCAGATACAATGTCGGCGCTTTGTCTCCAAAGTGTATCCTGTACTTTATTAACTGCTATAAAGAATACACTAACATTAACATCTGACAACAGAATGTGCATCTTACAACATACAAATACTCCATTTAGTTCTCCTCTAAGTTAGCATGTAGTTCGTTCGTGTTTATTGTCTAAAGCCCCGTACAGTATTTATATGTGAACCAAAAGTTGAAACATAGGATTGGAACTGGCATTACTTTCTTTTTAATCTGTATGTGAGGTGATGTTTTCAAAAGCTCTTGAATGTTTACATTTGTGCTTTTGGTTAAAGACAATCGCAAAACCAACTTGTACTTTGAGTTATTTGAATATGATATCAAAGGAATAGCTTCATTGTGTGTATTCACTGACAGTAGTGCTAATTAACCCATTTCTCTTTTAGACCTTCACCGGCCCATATGTGTACCATCTGCAGTCCGCCATTTCTGATGCCGAACTCCGAACTCTAATGCGCACCATCGGCTACACCTGTGACCACGATTCGCAGTTCCACTTGCAGGAGCACCCGGGAGGCGCGAATCATCTCCGGCAGCTGGCGTTCGAGCTCTTCCTGGCCCAGGCAGAGTGTCGTCTCCTGGGGGAGGTTGTGGCTCTGGCCCGCGGTTCGGCCTCGGAGCTGGAGGCCCTGGAACTCCGCAGAGGCTGCAGAGACGACGCGGCCGGCTGTGCCGAGGCGCTCCGCAGACGCGACAGCCTCGGTGCGGACATGGCTCGGCTGTCCGTGCGGCCGCTGGACATCGAGAGGCCTCACGCCCACCACCTGAGGCGAGGCAGCCGACCGTCTAAGTCCGTGGACGTCACAGATGGGGCCGGCCACTGGCACGCGGCAGTGAGCAAGCCCGTCCTGAAGGCCTCGCTGAGTCTGAGGAAGGAAACTCTGTTTGTGGATGCAGAGGAGGACATGAAGGATGAGATCATCAGGCCCTGCACCTCGGCGTCCCTCTTCTCCGTGGCTGCTCCGCCTTCCTACAGCCCCGTTGCGGATTTCTTCCCAATCCAGTCGCCTCCCCCGGCGGATGCTTACACATCCTACCACCTGTCCTCTTTGGATGAGATCGACTTGTACACAGAACGGGGTGTCGGGACGGGGGGAAGGCAGACCCCCTCTCGGCCTCCGTCCAGAGAGCCCCGGGATGTGCGGGACGCGTGGCTGCTCAAAGCTCACGGCAGTGTGAAGTGTCAGGGCTGCGGGCTGGGCTGCTCCTCCATGGCCTCCTGCCAGAGGTGTGACATGATCCTCTGTGCTTCCTGTCACGACGTGGACCCCTCCCCTTGCTGTGGCCTGCAGGACTACCACCCCAAATCCCCGCGGCCCCTGGACGGGTACATCCCCGTCAAGGAAAAGCTCTCCGTCTACTCCAACACTCACTCCCACTCCCACCCGCACCCGCTCACGCTGACCCACTCGCACTCTCACCCTCACCCCCAGATGGTGGAGAAGCCCCTCATGTCCGCGAAGCTGTTCGCGAGCAAGTCCGTCGCCCTCACGACGCCGAAGGGCGGCGGCGGCGACCGGCTGAGCACGGGCGGGTCGCGGTGCGGCTTTTGCAACAAGCCGGGGGCATCGCACACCTGCGTCAACTGCTCCAAGGTGTCATGTGACTCGTGCATGGGCTTGTACGCCAAGGATATTTGCACGCGGAAGAACCCCCAGCACAGCTTTGTGCCCAACCATCAGCTCAACTTCAAATCCGGCACCATATCTCACCTGGTGTACCGATGAGTCAGGGCGACGAATATTTGTTTCTCCCCTCTCGTCTTCCCCCCCC